TCTCGAATCACACTATTAATCCAAAACGACTATAGGTATTGTTTTTTATTTGATTATCTTTATACGTCTTTTTGAATTTCACTTATTTAGGTGCTTGCAGAGCACGTACACAACAGGTCTCACAGTGTATGCTGTCATTAAACACGAACTATAAACAATTCATTTTGATTTCACTTGTTTTAGTAATTTAATCGTATTATTATTCGAATCCTCTTATTTTTAATTAGATAGCTACTTAAAGTTAAAATAAGTTCGATTGCCTTATCTTATGTTATTATACCTATAACCTAACCACCAAGATTAGTACACCTAATTATCAAAAATTTTAAAATATTATTTTTCCAAACACGCAATATAAATGTATTAATCATTATATTATAGATACGTCACATAATCTGTATATTACTAACATAGTACCTAGAAATTTAAAATACTCTAGATTAAGTATAACCATTTATTCGCCGTGGTTGGTAACCTTTTTAAACGCATATAGGCCAACAAATAAATAATTGGTTCTGGAAAAGTAAAAAGTATTCATCGATATTTCATTCTCTAAATGATAACTGGTAACTCCAGAATATTGAAATATTTTAAAATATTTTGAAACAAAATTATTCGTTAAGTAACAAAAAAAGGAAATAATACTCAATGCCTATTCTATACGTGTAGTTAAAGTAAACTAAATATTTTATTTATTTCAGTTTTATTTATATCAGAATTTATTTTGATTTATTTGTTCTGACAGTAAATTGTCATTGTTTTTCATAAACGAAAGGAAAATCCTGATAAGTTATGCACATATACATATACTCGTATAAGATGCGAAAATAGTTTTTTCAGTTATATTTGTGAAAACAAAGAGTGTTCGGTGAACCGTATCTATATAACTATAAAATAGTCATTTAAATTTCATCCACGTGAAGCTTTAGGTTAAAATGACTCACTGCGGGCTTTGCAAACCGACCACCACAGGTTATCGACCATAGTATTTCAATATTTTCATTTAGTTTAAAATGTTCTATCACAGTACAAACATTTTTTCTTTCACCCGGTGAAGTTATAATATGATTTTAAAACAATATTTACTATAAACTGAATTAATTTACTACAACTATGAGTAATTACATTTTTACAGTCAGTTAAAACTTGTAGATGGTATTGGACTTGTTATATTATAATTATTATTTATATTTATAATATAAGGTTAATAGATGTACAGGTAATAATATTTTATCGGAAGGAAAACAATTTAGTTAAAACAATATTTATAACAAAATTACTTACGAAACTATTAAACGTGTATTATAGATTTTACAAAAACATGTAATTATATTATTAACATATAATTTTATGGTATGAATAGGTTTTAAATCATTCTGTGATATAATTTTGATACAAGAGCTATGTAACATGTAAACATCCATACCAGCATGTAAATATTTATTATAAATGCCCAGTAGCCGAGGTCTTAATTATGTTTCTACATTACAACTTAAATATATAATATTAGTATATTTATTATATTTGCCTCGATATTTTCAAAGGTACAAATTACTATAATAAATGAAAAAAGTATAATCGGGATAAAATAATATAATTATACCTTCAGTTATTATTTGTGATTTGTCTACAAAATATTGAAAAAGTGCAAGCCAATATTGTAATAAATAAAGTCGACAATAAAGTCGAAAAATCAATGCATTTATAATAAGTGCATATACCATTTTAAATACTATAATTATATTTATTTATTAGTGTCATATTTATAAACATAAACATAAACTTATGCAAATGCGCAAAGTGTGTTAATTTTTAAGATAAACAACCTCAAAACTATGTCTCATTTAAATAACCTATTCAAATATATTGTTGAACACTTTATAACTACCAAACTGTATTCATTGGTTTGTAATTTTATTATATTATATTGATATAATATTAGTATATACATATCAAGGTTATTATGAGTCTGGGGGCGATATTAAGAAGAAAAAAACGCAAAATACACCAAAGTAAAAGTAGGTAGTATGAAAACAATAATTTAAAAAAATCGTTTTAAAATATTTTAAACCTACTAGCGTAGTTGATATTTTACAGAAGATGGTATAAAGTAAAAGATATATTGTACGACTTTCTATTAAATAGTAATGTACTCGTATTTAACGCGTTATATAATCAATATTTGTAATAATCCAATACATTTTTGGTTGTAATGTTTTGCATATGCCTACATAGACATTAACCGAATTAAACGCATCACAAGGTCGCAGTTATATCACATTATAATATGATATAATACTGACCTTGTGGTTTATGTTTAAAATATTAACCGTCATCTCGATTGTGATCTGGATACATTGTATTCTGTAGGTGCGAAAAAAAAATAAATCATAACAGAAATGTTTATACTTCAGAGCAAATCCAACAGCGGCTCCGTAGAATAAATAAATACTTGCAGATGAATTTACTGAGTGTTGGTTATACTACACGTGCACACAGGTCCGGCTCAAATGTTTACTCACACCTAGGCAAACTAAAGTTCTGCCGCCCCTTACATGTAAATATTACATTAAATATTTTTTTTACATAAGCAATACAAAAATAGACTTTATTCTGAAATAATTAGATTTATTTATGTAAAATTTACAATATATTAGTTCAACACATTTGTAGTCAAGTAAACCACTACTCATTAAAATAAAATAAAACAATTTTTAGTTTTATTTTTTACTACGCATAATTTGATATGAGTAGCTACTAGAGGAATTGTAATCTTTTTTTAAAAAAATTATATATAGTTTAACAATTTTAAATGCAGCTCTAGACATGGGCCTATATCATCTACCTTTTAAGCCGGGCTTGCGTTTACTTATATGTGCATAAATTTGTAGAAACCAATACGTGCCCATACGACACTTGTTGCGAGAATGCAGCTGTATAAAAATGTATCGGTAGAATTTAGTACACGGTATCTAGCGGTAGTGGTAAAAGTTTAAAACGCATGCGATGATCAGGATTGTCACTGATACACGGGGTGGGATCGAGAAAAATTGGCTCGCCATTTTAATATAATAATATTCGTGTGTAGTATCATCGTCGATTATGTATAAAAATGATCACCAATACGTACAATATTACATAGAATGAAGCGTATCTCCGTCAGTCACTATGGACATTTATGAACACACAATATATTATATTTTAATGTCCACCTCTGGTGGCGTATACAGAAAATATTATTGGGATGGGCTACTACATATAGACAGTGTTAAATTATCACTGCTAATAATTACTAACAAGAAACAGTAGGTACATATCTACATTTCATTTACAGAATGTCCCAAAACGATTTGACGTTGGACGTAAATTTTAAATGAGCATAAAGCACCATTTAAATATAACGTACATTTAAAATAATTTTTAAGTTTTTTAAAACATTTCTGAGGGGGCTGTAGCTCACTAGGCTCCCCCCTTATATACACCATTGCCCACCCCATAATTCTGAAATGTCTTCGGGATCGCAAGTTTTATGGTTTTATATTTAAATAAATGTATATACATATATAGGGAAACATGGGATAAGATGGGACAACTGGATTCCTCCATAGTCAGTAATAAATTTATTAATATAACATCTTTAAATGATTTTGTGGAGGTTTGTCAGACGGTTTATAATAAGAAATAAATGTTAACTGATTGAAATTATATATTATCAGTGTTTTTCAATTTTTGCTTAATAGCCAGTTAATGTGTGCAAAAGTTAACATCATTTTAAGGTAAGTAAAGTTAATTATTTCTTAACAATTTTTTTTTTTTTTTGATAGATCTATACACTTCTGTAATTTAATATTATGCAATAATATTTAAAATATATAAACAATTTTATTATATAGGTTTAATTGAAAATTATTGGTTATCGGGGACATAATGAAATAAATTAATGGGGGCATGACGGGACATGCCTATTCCACAAAGGTCAAATGAAGGAACATCTATTCCTAAAAGAAAAAGTTTAACCACAGGAAAAACCATTGTTCTTACGGAATCCCCATACAAAAATGAACTTGAAAAAAAAACAAGAATAGTTAAATCAGTAATTAAAAGGAAATCATTAAAAAAAAAGTAAAATAAACCTGTCATAAAAAAAGAAAAGAAGAAAAAGATACTTAATTCATGCACAAATAACGAAGATCATATGTTCACAGAATGCATTTATTGTGGCCATTATTATGCAGAATCAAATGAAGATTGGATATGTTGTCAGAGTTGCGAGAAATGGGCCGATTTGTCTTGTTTTGGAAAGGACGAAGAAGAAAACACCACATACGTATGTGAACATTGTTTATAATTATAAATATTTATGAAAAGTTAAGACTAAGAAAGTATTATTTTTAATTTCTAAATAGGTTTTTTTTTTTGTTATTTTAATGTATAGGATATTTAATCTTTGTTAAATAAATTAAACTTTGTTTTATATTTGTGTGATATTTGGTACCTAACATTATTTATTTAGAAATAAGTATGCATATTAACTTATTTAAAAATGTGTTTAGAATTTGTGTCTCATTTTACCTCAGGGTGTAGGCAAGATGGGACAGATGGCACTTTTTAAGGTTTAATTTTTTTTTTTTATTCAAAAACACAACAACAATTGTTTAATGTAAAACATTTACAAACCTAACAACTTTTTTTTTTAATATATAAATCGAAAATTCATCTTCTACAAGAAGTTAAACATTAGGCGTCTCGTCGTACCCCAGGTTCCCCTATATGGATTTCGAGAACACAGGCAGATGAGTATGAACAGTTTAGAGCATTAATAAACGTTTAAGGGGTACCCACGTTTCAACAACCGTAGACGGCGGAATTGAAAAACCCTTCGCAGCGCCGCGGAACCGACGGTCATTGGACACGCTAAGGGATCGCACAATGGCCGCGGTACGCGTGGCGCACGTAAAACATCTCACCGCGCGTTACGCGCAACAATGTAGAGAACATACCTAATGTACTAGAACGTGCGCGGAGCTTTGCCAATCGTCGAACTCCTGTAGTCCATGCCCGAGCACCGTGGGCGCAGGCACTGCACTGGTCCGGGCGGGCAGTACCGAAACTGTCCGGATTAGTAATGCGTAACGGGTGCGCGACGTTCACGATTTCGTGTTCGCGACGACGGCATTCGGGTGAAGACCGCGAAACGCGCGGAAAACAGCGAACCGTGTTGAGTAACGGGCAGAGGACGTGCAGGTTGGAAAAGTCTACGCGTGCATTAGCGGTACGCCGGCAACGACCGAGTAAAGTATTGAAACGTTTCGATCGCGACCACGCGAGTACAGGTGTGTGAACCGCGAGATGAACGTGTCGTGGCGGTCGTCACGGCGGGGCCCAGGACGGAAAATGTGCAGGCGCGAATCGGTTTCGTTTCGCCGGTAGAACGTACACCGCGGACGTGTGCCCGCGCGTCTCGGTCGTCGAAAAGCGAATCTGTTGCGCCGCGCGGCAATCGTCGGACTGCGTGCTCGCCGTGGCCCGTACGCCGCCGCGTGCCCGACCGACCGACCGACCGACCGTGTGGTGCGTGCGTGCGTAAAGTATTGCCGCCGCCACCACAGATTGTACACGACGCGCGCGCGGTCCGTACACGGTTCTATCCACTCTTTCACCCGGTCCGTGCGGCCGCGGTGCATCGCGGTCGCCGCAACAACAATGAACGATCATTACATTGCGACAGCAGCCAATAACGACGATTAATAACAACAACAATGCAACAGCATCTCGCCGTGCGCGGCAACAGTGGTCGGCGGAAACCAGTTCCGCTGTTCTTCGCCCCAAGACGAACAACATCTACACCGTCGTAAACGCGAACAGTTGAATTTTTTTGCACTTCTTACCGTCCGATTCGAAAAACGATTGAAAGACGGCGATGATCGAATCGAAAAAACGTGATACGTCTATACCTTTGACGATGAGTCTAATGACAATCGTTTGAATCTGCTGCACAATGTGCCGGAAAATCATTTTTTCAGTATTCCAATCACTAATGGATTGGTAGTCTGAAATAATTTTCGTACTAGATGTGTACACAGTTATGCGCGTTGGCTAACGTGGACATAATATTTGTAGAAAGGGTGGAGTGTAAAAACTTAAAGGGTGGCCACTAAAAAATATAGAGGCATTTACTCGATCACTTTACCACCACTCCGCAGCACGTTTAGGTTTTACTTTACGCCCTACCGGTGGCTTCATTTGGGAAGGGGCAACTCATACATTTGCCACAGTCAAGATTTTTGCCATTCCATAGTCGGCACATCATCAAAATATAAATACTTCTTTTATAGAGCTATTGACAAGTTGTAAATCAGAAAAATGAGACATGTATTTAACGGGTTCTTATATACTAAGTACAAATCATTAAATTTTTGAACTGGTTTGATGTCCCTCTAACCTCACTTTAATCGGCACTTAAGTAAAATGAGCAACTGAGTCGGACATTTAATAAGAATATCCAGACTGCCCTACTCTAGAAAAAAACTGAAATAAGACCACTAGGCACTACACTTTGCAGGTCTCAGAACTGGCGGATTAAGAGATATTATTATCAGAACCTTAAGAATTTCCACTTAAAAAAAAAATTACAAAATATATTAATACAGAAGTGTCTAATACGATAATATCTTGGTCTTGTTATGTGTTCATATCAAAAATAAATGGATTGTTCAAAAACTTCATCCTAAATTCTCAACTTTTCTAAATTTTAATCTCAATTTTATTAATTACATTTCGATGTACGACTGCAGCCCTACCTCAATCGGCCTTCCAAGATTATTTTAATAGTTGTCGATAGCCACCAGAACAATCTGACTACCTTGAAGACTTGTGATGCATCAATACACCACGTACACGTAGTTCGCTGTTTTTTAATCAACATCAAAATCATAACTTAATGTCACACACAACCACGCGTATTTACATCAAATAAATTTTTATATTGAAAATTGTTTATTTTAGTATATTACATAAGAAAAAAAATCTTTTCTATTTACGAAAAATTCATAAAATTTACAATTGTGACAATATACATATCCACTTAGATTAACATTTGTAAAAAATGGTTATGAAATAAAATTATATATCACCACATATAATAAAAATATATAAACATTAAAAAAATTCTCATACTAATATATCGATTGATAAAAGTGCAAATAAAAATTAGTAATGGCCATCAAGCCAAATCTTTATCAATTTAAATATGTATGCCACTTTATGTATGAATACATGCAAGTTTAGAAAATTGAGTTTGATTACGTCTACTTATACGAGTTATATTTCATCACATGGAAGTACACGCATTTTATTATCTTATATAGGAGTGTGTGTGTGTATAATAAAATCGTATACCTACTCCTTTACACTAAATAAATAAAATAATTATACAATATTTGTGTCACTATAAAGCACGTTTATGTGCAGCCTAAAAATTAAAAACGTAGAAAACCATGAGATCGGAAACTAGACTATCACATATTTATTATAATTTATACAAAAATGTATGTATAACTTATAATAAATCTCGAATAACGCCTCTAATTTATAATTATAATTACCCACTACTAGTAAATAAATGCAAACCCGATTCCGGAACGAAGAACATCCTATTATAACTAAAGTCCGAATTTATATGCATTTGCATGTTTGTACTAAGTGTATGCATGTCTATGGAGGTTTAAAGTGTCCACGATTCATATCACACCGAATTTAAACACCAAGTTTTATGTTGCATATTTTGAGAATTATTGTATATTTGTTCATAAATGCATGTAGCATGAATATTTAATGGGTTTTAATAAATTAACTATTTTAATTTACAGAAAACTTTGTAATCGTTTCGAATAGAGCACACATAGACATGATAGGTATTAAGTTTCAAAAATATTATTTTAAAAGATTTGTATTTTTTTTTTAAGTTTTCTATTGGTTTTTTGAGGGTAGGTAACTTCAAATGATCTAAAATATTTATTTTTAGTTTTGTTTTTTTTTTTTTTTTGTATACTTGTTTTTAAGTTCCCTAAAAATTTTAGATTGATTTAAATAATTTAAAATATAAAGCAATTGATATTATAATTTTTTTTGTTTTTTATAAAATATTTAGAATTTGATTTGGTATTAAAGTGTGGTTTTTTTAAAAAAAAAACACATATTTTATAATGTGTAACATAATGTATATAATTGCATATTTAGCCACTTTTTCTTTGCATATTCATATCATATTTGACACTTTTTAAATGCTTATAAATCCGGGCTCTAATTATAACATTAAATTGTATTATATGCATCGGAAAAACACTTAAATATTATTTTTATAACATTTTGTCAAATAATTCAACATGCAATCGCGACATTTTTTTTCGAATATACGAGTAGATTGAGTATAATTTGTATTCATTTGACGATGATATTATTAATTATTTTAATGAATAAGAAAATGCATCATAAGAAATGCTATGATTTAGGTAAATACCTCAATTACTTAATTTACAATTTCAACTAAAAGTTTTGTAAATTATTCTAACACATACCCGAAATTGTATTAGATTATATCAAATGTAAGAAATTCAAATGTACTCGTATTATAAACACACATATAAAAATCAAGAATCCATATGATAGTGCCGCTATGACTTAAAAAAAAACCTCTGTAATGATTTATTATTGAAGATAAATATATTATTATGTTGTACTATTTTATCGATAACATCCAACTGCGTAGTATCTTATTCACTTCTATTCAAATAGTAATTCGGTCGCGTGGCGTATACAAGTCGTGGACTACATTCGATTTATTATTAAAATCTTATTTTAGCATTTTCATTTTTTTAATTGAACATCTTTTATAATATTATCTTTTCTATGGCCATTGTATTTTATCGGCACGCTACACAATAGAATTAATTTATGAAAGAATTTGACTTACACTAGTCACCACACCCCAAATAGATATTACAAACGAGACAAATATAATATGCATTTATATATGCAGCGTTTATCTTGTAAATATACAAAATTGAGATGTCTTACCTAGGTTCTATTGAGGAACCCTTAATTGGTTATTTTACCACTTAGTATGATAGTATCTGTGACTGAACTACTGAAGGCTAAGAGTTCATAGGTTAACCAAAACATATAGATAGATGCCATACAACACATGATTATGACCCTGGGCTAAAATTATCAGCATTTCTGGTTTTCCTTTCATGTACTAAAATGACATGATATTTTTTAAAAAAAGTCATGGAAATTAATTAGTACAAAAAGCAGTTTATAGAACAAACAAAAAATATGTACATAATTATAAAATTGTTCAAATAATTTATAATTTTTAAATATGCTCTAGGTGAACTTTTAATAGTAATTAACGATTGACCAATCGATTCTTGGCGTAAGATTTAAGATTTTTTTTTTGCGAGTCAGAGGTATGAATAATATTATAAAGAATAATTGTTCTAAAACTTTTATTCTAGATCTAAAAAAAAATTCCATTTTATTTATGTCCACTAGCTGATATAAAATATGAAATGGAATTTCAAACATTATTTATCATGTATATTATCATTATGTTTTACAAAAAAATTATTGCACAGAATTCAGGCAACTACAGACTAATACTGAATGAATGTAAATTATGTTTATAATTATTATTACGGAATTAATTTTTTGCAGCGTTTACTTAATATAATATAACGCCATAATACCTTGCCGGTTGCATATTTCAGAAATAATACTTTTAGATTAATGGCGGACAATAATACATAATAAGAAAAATAATACGTTACTTCATTTTTTGACAAGTTACTCTTGACACTGTAAAACAAAAATATTTTTAATTTACAATACATATAATATTCTTCTAAAACTTAAGTTTTAAAACTAATCATTGAATACACGTAAATATTATGGGCATTTTTTTCACAATGACGAACAGATGGAAAATAATTGTATAACTTCGAGTATTCTTTACGATAAATTTGAGGAAATCATAATTTTATAACTTCATACTTTCCAGTATCTTCAACAAAAAAATTAATTAAAAATTGACCTACTGATATGACTACTGAAGAAATGGATACGTACCTATATTACTATCAATACGATAGAACATTGAAAAAAACATACATATACCTAGCAAAGTTGAATTTATTGGGGAGTGACATGGCGATCACCCCTCCTTGAACTTTTAAATTATTAAAATTATGGTCAAGTTTTCATTTTACTTTATGTATCACTCAAAAATATTAGCTCATCTCACCCTTATATAAGCTTCAAATCCACTCCTCATATTTAAGATTAAAATTAATTAGAACTAT